CCTGACTATGCAAATATGGTATATGGGACACTAATGTGAAGATTGGTCAGTTTTGTCATTCTGCTAGGCTTAAAATAAGCCATCCCAGAGGCAGAAAATGGGATCTCACTATCATCAATACACAAACAGCAGCCAAGAGTGGAGCATGCCCTTGGACCCGGGATCCCTGCGCTGGACCTCTTTGGCAGGTAGATGGCAGAGACATAGCAGAAACAGTGGCAGGTGAGGCAGCAGAACCAAGAGACTGCCATGAGTCAGAGCAGTGGGCTTATCAGCCTACAGAGTGAGAAACGTGAATGCCTTTGAGCAGAAAGCTTGCTGGTAAAGCAGGGTATACATAGGTAAGGCTAGCAGCAGAGCTCAAAGAGCTTTGTGACACTTACCTGAGCAGAATGTAGGCTAGACCATGAGGCCAAGGGCCAAAGACAGGCTTGCCAGATGGCATGGCGAAGGGGAAGCTGGCCTGACCAAAGAATTGTATCCAGAGCATTCCTGAACCTCAACTGTAACCTATTACCTCCCTAATAAACCCCATAATTTTGAGTATTGTTTGTGAATTTTGTGTGGTCATTACAATGAATTATCAAACCCAGCTGAAAAATAGAGAGTACCGTGGGAAGGACTGTTGGTGTCATAATTGGTAAAGGGTTTGAAGGGTGGTGGCCTGTCTGACCTCCACCCCACAGGAATCAGTCTTGGGCTGCTGATGGTGATTTCCCTCCTCCTTGTGAAGTTAGAGGTCAGAGGAGGATGCTGTCTTTATGCCCTTTGTGCAACTACACAGGATAGTTTAATTAAAATAATGTTTTAACATTTGTGCTCATTGTAAACAGATTTTTTGCTTCAGAATGCTTTGAAAAGACATTTTTGTCCTCTCTCCAGTAGAAATATTTTTGGAAGGTTTCTTCTAGTCAGCTTATTTGCAGAATTGTTTAAAGTAACACTAATTTTACTGCAGTAATTGAAATGAATGTTTCCATTTTGAAAACGTCTGCAGGAAAAAATTAAGATTTGCAATTCAAGTGAATGGGGAGACTGTTAGATTGTGGTAAATAAAATGGACTATTTATACTTATTATTTTTTTCAAGAACATCATCTAAATTATCCATTATTAAATGCTTCCTAGATTGATACAGTAGGTTCTATATAAGTCATTATGGGCTTTGACTGATAGCATAGTTGTTCTAATTGTCTATTTTTAACAGAAGGTGTTTATTAAGATGGTTCTATCATCTTAGCAACTGACAGTACATAGAACCATAACTAGTCCTCCACCTCAAGTTAAGCAAATAATACAGTTTCATTTCAGAAAGTCATAATCCAGGGAGAAAGTTTGTATACCTTTTCCCAAAAGGAGTTTATTGGTTTTTAAAGGATTGCTATAGAGATAAAAATCTGATCTCAATTTATTACATACATATTTGAAAGTTTCCTAAATATACTAGCCTGTGAGTACATTGGGCAAATTTGCTGCAAACAACCTTTTTAACATGTTAAAAGCAAAGATGTTGGAGTAAAGAAAAGTAAAGAAACCCAAGACTCAAGGAAACAATTAGTCCTTTGGACTAATTGAGCATATGAACCAGAGTGTCCACTAGTTTGAGACTAGAGGAACTAGATGGTGCCCAGCTACCACTATTGATTGTTCTCACCAGGTTCATAATAGTAGGTCCTGGACGGAGTGGGAGAAATATGCAGGACAAATTTCAAATTCATTAATAAGACCTAACATACAGGTCTGACAGAGCCTGATGGAACCCCCCGAGACTATGGCCCTTTGACGCCCCTCAAACTTGGAACTGAATCCATTCCTGGAGATCACATTAGAGCCAAGCAATCGACAGGCCTATAAAGTGAACGATAATACCTGAGAGGAATATACACTTCAGAACAATCAAGAATATGAGACCAAAAGGGCACCATTTGCCAAAAAAAGCAAAGTTCAAGAAGCACGTAGGGGCAGGAAAGATGGATGAATGGAAACAGGGAACCCAAGGAAGAAGGGGTAAGAGTATTGGCACATTGATGGGATTGTACCAATGTCATGAAACAAACTTGTGTATAAATTGTTGAATGGGAAATTAATTTGCTCTGTTAACTTTCACCTAATTCACAATAAACTGTTATTTTTTTCTTCAGAAAAAGAATAAAACCAAAGATGTCACTTTGAGGACTAAGAAGCACCTGACCCAAGCCATGGCATTTTCAATTGCCTCATATACATGTGAAAACTGAACAATGAATAAGGAAAGCTGAAGAAGAATTGATGCATTTGAATTATGGTGCTGGCAAAAATACTGAATATACTAAAGACTATACTAGAATAAAGGAATAAAGGAGTTCTGGTGGCTTAGTGGATAAGGCATTTGGCTGCCAACCCACCAGCAGCTCCATGGAAGGAAGATGGGGCAACCTAGTTCCATAAACATTTACAGCCTCAGAAACTCAATGGGGGTTACTATGAGTTGGAATTGATTTGACAGTAGTGAGTTTGGATTTTTTTATTTTTTTGGTTATACCAGAATAACGAATAAATCTGCCTTGGCAAAAGCAAAGCCAGAATGTTCCTTAGAAGCCAGGATGGCAAGAGCTCATCATCATACTCTGAACCTGTTACTAGTAGAGACTGGAAAAGGGTATCATGCTCGGTACGGTCAGTGAAAAAGAGGAAGATGCTCAACGAGATGGATTGACACAGTGACTGCAACAATGGGCTCAACACAGCAACTATGAGGGTGGCGCAACTTGAGGTCCCGCAACAACAACCTGAGTGCAAAGTTTGTAAAGGTTATAACCATCTATTTGTGTTAAATCAGTGTTTATTGATGTGATCCTGAATTCTTTTTGGGCACTTTTGCTGACTTTTTTTTTTAGAGCATTCATCTAAAAAATAACTGATTTATTTAGCTGATTAACTACTAAGCTTGCTATCAGACAGTAATAAACATTTTGAAAGGTGAAAATGAAATGAAGGTGGATTCCTAGCACCAAAACAAAACAAAAAAAACTTCACTGCCACTGAGTTGATTCTGACTCATAGTGACTCCTCCTTAGGGAGCTCTGGTGGCGTACTCCATAAGGCATCTGACTGGTAACCAGAAGGCTGGCAGTTCAAACCCACCAGTCACTCCTTGGAAGAAAGGTTAGGCAATCTACTTCCGTAGTGACACCTCCTCAGAAACCCAAGGAGGGGTCGCCGAGTCGGATCTGACTTGACAGCAGTGTATTGTGCTGTAGTTATCTCTACGTAAGTAGATTGCCCAATCTTCCTTCCAAGGAGTGGCAAGGGATGTTAATTTATTGCATGTTCATTGACTGTTACTGGACACAACAGCACAGACCAAGCCTCTGTGTCCCATCTTGTCATAATCTAACGAGAATCCCAGAACTGTAAACCTGGAAAAGACCTTCAAGAGACTATTTGTTTTAGTTCTCTGTCTCCAGGAAGGTATCAGTTGTGGTAGAATAAGAGGGTCACTGAAAATAAGGGTAATCCTCAATAAGATGAACTGACACAATAGCCATAATGGATTCAAATATACCAACAATTGTGAGATGCCACGGACCAGGCAATGCTGCTGTTATACAGAAGGTTGCCATGAGTCAGAGCCAACTCCACAGCAACTAACAACTTCATGAAGGTCAAAACCCAAACACCACAGACAATTGGCCAGTGTTCCTTTTCAACACCTCCAAGGACAAAGACTTAGAATCTTTCTTGTTTTGTTATCAACAGCAATAGTAATGATTACCTATGAGTTATTACAAGAGTCTCCACTAAGGTGAGATATTTTATACATACAGCTTCTCTGTCACAGAAATCTTATAAGTTCATTATTCACGAGGCCTATTTTGTAGATAGAGAAATTGAGGTCAAAAAGAGATATAGTAATTTACCCAAGGTCACACTCCAGGCAAGTACCTGATTTAGGATTCACATCCAAGTTTTTCCTCTGCCATTAATTCTGTTGCCTCTAAAAGCAGTACCTGTATATATTTATCTATATAAAGGGCAACAACAAAGAGAAGTAACAAAATCATTAAGCATAAACCTAAACTTATGTTTTAGGAAAAGAATTTCCTTGGAGATTAAACATTAAATCATGGGATAATCATACTAGATGTCCCTTATTAACAACATCCCATGATTTAGAAACTCCCAACCTGGTCTCTTTCATATCAAATGTTTCTGTGTGGAATAAATTAACTACAAATCCCCTAAACTTTTGGGGATCATCAATATTTCACCCCACAATTAATCCCCCCCCACACACACACACATACGAGGGATAAAGTTCCAGGTCTTTCTTGGGGCTTCCATCAGTTTCGAGACTTCGAGAGTCTGATGTGTGTGTGACTAGGAAAAGAATAGCTGAATCATATCTAAAAGCAAATTCTCCCGATTAGAAGTCTGTAACAAAAAGGAAGATAATTAGGCATCCATCTGCCTTTTAACCTCAACATCTCTTCCTCCAAGCCAACTCAGCAGCAATTTTTACCAATTGGTAAAAAGACTCGAAGGTGGGGGTAGAAGGCCGACAGCCCAGGCCGGGGCTTCGTTTCTCCCCGTCTTTCGGAGCCAAGAATCTACGGGTGCAAACTGGTCCCTGCTGTTGGCCGCTGGAAGCTGGAAATGCGCTGGATGCGGGCAAAAGCAAGGCGGGGAAGTGAGCAAAGCCAGAGTTTGTGAGGGGCCGAAACAGCCTTACAAGGGTTTAGGAAAAGGGAGCTAAGAACCTTTTTCCAAGGTTATGGAGGCGTGAGGAGCGAGGGAAGAAGCGCCTCGTAGGCAAACTCGTCCGCGCGACACAGGGTGCAGCCAAGCCGCATCCGCCACCGCCACCAGCGCCCGCTTAGAAGACAGCGCGGCTCAGGTCTCGTCCATGGTCCGAGTCTGGCGCATGCGTCGCAGCCCCTCCTCCGCTCCCGGCCCCCTCCCTTCCCTCTTCCCGCGGGTCTGGGGCGGCGGCGGCGGCGGCGGCGGCGGCGCGGTGACGTCAGGGCGTTGGGGCAGCTCCTGTGACAGACGGAGCTGGAGCGGCGGGGCGGCGGCGGAGTCCGGCGGCGGAGATAGCGAGTGAGCGAGCGAACGAGCAGCGACCTGGGGGTCTAGGGATCGAGAAAGAGGAGGGAACGCTCGGGCACGAGCGAGAGAAGCCGCGAGCGCCAGGCTTGGGCTCGAGCCCCAGAACGGCAAAGGAGCCCGCCCGCTCCCCTCCCCTCCCCCTCCCCGGGACCGGGCCCAGCGCGCCATCCTCCCCCTCCCTCCTTCCCTCCCTCCCTCCTTCTTCCCTTCCCTCTCCCTCTCCCCCTCCCCCGCCGGTGGATGGGAGTGAAGGACGGAAGAGGCCCTGCGGAGGCGGCAGTGCAGCGCTCCGGTAAGGCGGCGAGGGTCTGCGCCCTCCCCTCTGCCTTTTCCATCGCGCCCGGGCGGCTGCAGGCCGGGCCCGGCGGCCTGACGATGTGGCTGCGCCGGTCCCCTCCCTCCCATTCTCCCCTCCCCCTGCTGCCGCCGCCTCCTTCTTCTTCTCTCCTCTCTCTCAAAATGGCGGCCGCGACGGCCGTTGAGTGAGAGACACGGGAGGAGGGGGGACAGGCCCAGGAAGGCGCTGCCCTCGTTACCCTCCTCTCCTGCCGGGGTTCAGGGGTGCCCGAGCTGCGGCGACTCCGCCCGTGGCCCTCCCCAAGAAGGGATCGCTCTCCTCCCTTGGTGACTTAGCAAGAAAAGTATTCTTGGGTAGGAAGGGCGTGGGGAGCAGGTCGCTTTCTGATCTTGGGGAAAAGATTTGGCTCCTCTTCCCTCCCCGGCCGCATAAGGCGAGCTCCGCAGTCCCCACCCCATCCGCGGTTGGCGGCTCGGGGACCAGGCTCACCCCCGCGCCGCCTTGGAACCCACAGGGCCTTTCAGGCGTTCAGTCCCCCCATCTGTCCTTAGGATAGGGTTGACCTGGGGAGGATGGCTTACCCCTTTCTGGCCCCCTCTTTGCGATGGTCCAGCCTCGACCTCCACTAAGGGGAAGTGACCCGACCCACCGAACAGTCTGCAGTATTCATCCACCAAATCAGGATTTTCCTTCTGCCACCAGCTCCTCAAACGGGAGTTGCCTTTTGACGTTGTAACACTGACTTAAAGGTCCTCATCAATTTCCCTTCATCTAATCTTCCCACACCTTTAGGAAACGCAGTACCTGTGTACGGTCTTTAGCCTCCCAGGTGAGAAAATGGCTTTGAGGGGTAGGCAAATTTTAACTCATCTCTCTCCCTAAACATAAACGTAGAGAGGAGGTTTTCTGTATCTCAGCTAGGAGAGAGCAAAGTGCTTTGGCGTTATTTGTTATTCTGCCTTTCTTTAGTGACTTTGCAGGAAGCTACTTGGAAGGAGGGTAGGAAATTTTCTTTTGAGGTTGAGGTTGAGGTTTGCATCCAATTCATACCAATCCTTTGGTTAAGAAGAGATGGACCAGATTTGTGGTCTCGGTTCTCAATGGGCGATGTCATGCCAAGCCCTCCCCCCTCCCTTTTCCTTAAGAGGCAATCGGGAGAGAATAAAGATATTGTTATTCTGACCTCTACGTTAAGTACACGGTCTTCGAGATTCATAACATTTTAAAGGTTAAGCAAAAAATTTGTGCTGTTTTCGGCAATACTATTATTGTTGGGGGATGAGTTGTTTTGTGTGAATTTCGTTTCTAGGGTGGAGGAGATAGTGCTTGGGCCTTTCATACCAATGAAAATGTCATTCCTCCCCTTTTGCCACAGTAGTGTTGGCTTAATTTTTTTTTTTTTTTTGCTGCAGCGGGGCTTGATTGCTGCAGGGTCCAATCTCTTACCAGAAAAATTTCCTGCTTGGTTATGTCGATAGTGATATAATGTTCAGTATATACTAAAAGCTTTTACTTAATCTTTATTGGGAAAAAAAATCTGGTTTGGTTTTAAGGCCTTAGGTATCTTTTAATCTCTAATGGGCGTCATTTAGGACACAGTTTTGCAAAATAATTGGCAAACTGCAGTTTTTATTAAAGCAGAATAATCATCTGTGGAGTGATACAATTTTCATGTTCTGTTATAAATGATCATTGTTTAGATTGTTCCAAAAGGACGAGGATCTCCTGTAACAGATTTGAAGCTTGGTATATATATATATATATATATATATAGTTTTTAAACCAGAGGAAGGAACCCTATTTATCACAAAAAATATTTCTGCCCATATTTGATTTTGAAAGAGTAGTCCTTATTTTGCCTCTTCTCATCTCCTTTTTTAAAAATTGGCTAATATTTGTGGATGCTGTGAACAGCCATTGAGAGGAGAAGACTGGGTGGAGTAAGGGAGCAAAAGCTGTGAAATGCTAGATTGCCTTTTCATAGCATTTTTGTCTTGCCTATGTTTTGTAATGTTATTTGGTACTAATTGTTGCTACAAAGGCATTTCTCTACAGTGAGTCTTAAAATCTTTATTTTTTAGTTTGCCCCCTTTTTGCAAGACAAATATTGAATGATTCTGGTAAAAAGCAGTCTTCCTGCTTTAAAGCAGACACTTATTGTCTGGTTATGCATACACACTCTTGTTATTTTTTTTTTTTTGTTGTTGTTGTTTTAGTAAGTGTAAATTAGTGCCAGAAATATTTGGGTAGAAATAATAATAGAAATACTTTGAAAATCTAATAAGGATGCCACAAATGTTTTCTTTTACTTTAGTCTGTATTAAAACACTATTGGTGATTTTTTAGTAATGAACATCAAAGATGAGAAAAGTAGATAAGAGAATTTGTGTTAAAGGCTGTTTGTTTAAACCTTTTTTCTTGAATTGCCTTGAAAGGAACCTTTTTGTAAGGTACTACTATAAGAGAGGATAGATGGTTTTAATGGCTTGTATTAAGCACTCACCTGAAAGGACATCTTTAAAAGAATTTCAGATTCATGTGATTTTGATGAGCCTTTATGAATGTTTGTCAATGTATGGTGTATTTTTACATTTTCATAATTTTTTATGTGATTAGAAGGTAGAGGGCTCATATATGGTGAAGAAGGATAGAGATTAAGAATGATAATTCACTGTGTCATGTATCTGGCATATTCCTATCACTACTGTTTGTAGCTATAAATCTACATACAGCTCAGAGTGATGATTTTTTAGATTATTAATCAGGAGCTTAAGATAATGTGGCTTAAGTAAGAGTGTATTAGTTATAAATGTTTGTGTGTGTGTTTCTGATATATGTGACAGAATCTTTTCTTAATTTGGAGACCAGTTTTTTAAATTCTTCATAATCTTATATTTATAAAACTTTGAATGAGATTGAGATGGATTTTATTGTTCAGTAGAGTTACTTGGTATATATTTTTTCCAGCTAAAATATCTGTTGTAAAGGAGATTTGGAGATGCTTTTGGGAGGGAAACATCAATATCATAATTTTTTATTTTCTAACTAGAACATTCATATTTCATAGTGTATATTGTATATATATGTATACACATGCATACATGCATATATATTTAAAAGAATGTAAATGTTTTCCTCTTGGTTGTGTATTAATAATAGGTGATATATATACATATATGACCTTCTGGCTTATTTTTTAAATATCTAGGAAAAATTGGGACTTTAATTCTTGTTTACATGTGGTTCATATTATTCACAATTTGTCACCTTAATTAATAAACCATAGGCGCTACTGAAGTTGTTAACATTAGGTTGGAGAAGTCTTAAAAAATAAACCCGTAGTAAAATCTTAGGGCAATGAGAGTGAATTTTCCCATCTTACCATTGAGTTCTAAAGCACTGAGTCATGCACTCTCGCCACAGGGACTTCAGGTTCATTTGGCCAACTGGCCATGTCTATTTATGATCCTAAAAGAGATTTTTTACTTACCTCTCAGTCTCTGTTGTGAAAATATTTCATGGTGATAATCAATCTACTTTTATATAATTTGGGAAGAGAGAAATAGTTAACTTTTTTTAATTGTTGAAGTTGCTTTATTTAAAATAAGACCCATAGTATGCAATACGAGTTTTGAAAAGAAAAAAAGCAGACCTAGTCTCTTGAAGATGCTGTAGAGTGAATTTTGGTTGTTAAAAGGCCAAACATTTTGAGAAATCATACTTCATGATGAAGGATGCTGTATTATGTAAGTCTCATAGTTAACTGCAGTGAAGGCTTTTTGGATTGTTGTAGCTTATTGCTGGTTTGGTATGACACTTTGGCTAGTCATTTAAATTGAACCCCTGGTGGTGTAGTGCCTAAGGCATTTGACCACTAACTAGAAGGCTGGCGGTTCAAACCCACCAGCCACTTCTCAGAAAGAAGGTTGGGCAATCAACTTCCATGGAGATGATGTTGTTACGTGCTGTCGAGTTGGACCGGACTTGGGTTTCCGAGGCAGTATCACTACGGAAGTAGATTGCCCCATCTTCCTTCCGAGGAGTGGCTGGTGGGTTTGAACCACCAACCTTCTGATTAGCAGTCAAATGCCTTGGGCACTACGCTACCAGCGCGCCCTCCATAGAGATACTGCCTTGGAAATCCAAGGAGGGGTTGCTGTGAGTTGAATTGATTCGATGACAGTGAATTTGGGTTTTTTGTTTGTTTGTTTAACTTCTATGTATATAATTTTTAACTTTGCACTAGAATTACAGATTTTAATTGATATTTGTGAAATGCTTTACACTCATTGGATGCAGGCATCATAGGTACTTATTATTTTGATTTATTATTTTTCTCATAGAAGGGTGGTGGCTCTTGGTTGAAACTTAGCTTACCTAGTTAGACTGATCTGAGCATTTGTCCAGGATGCTCTGCAAAGGTGTTAAGATAATTGTCATTAAGTATTTCGCTAGAACTTTGCTAATGTATTGAAGTTGTGACTCATTTTTATGTGTCTGGTAGTTATTTATTAGGGAGCTCTGGTAGCATAGTGGCTAAGACACTTGCCTGCTAACCAGACGGCTGGCGGTTCAAACCCACCAGCCACTCCTCAGAAGGAAGGTTGGGCAATCCTACTTCCGTAGTGATACTGCCTCGAAAACCCAAGGAGGGATCGCTATGAGTCGGGTTTGACTCGACGGCACATAACAACAACAACAACAGTTATTTATTTATTTATTTTTAGATAGATTGATGTTTTTCAGGATGAGAGAACTAAAATTCAGGGAATTTCTTTTCCTGAGGTCACAGGTTAGTGGCTAGAACAAGGCAAATATTACAGCTATTGAAACACCTGGGTATTGCCTTGCATGGTCAAACATCGCTTTTTCTTTTGACAAATGGGCTTCTTTTGTAACTGTCCTTTGTTTGTTTCTTGGATTTATTGCCTGCATCTTTTAAATTGGAGTTTTTGAATGTATAGTCTTGTGTTGACTAATGTTAACTATTTCAC